TCAGCTGGGACTCGGGAGGCAGCGAATAGATTGGGGAGGGGCCAGGCAGAGGTGGTATTTACCGGTTCTCTGAACTACTCAAAATTTCCACTACCGGTTCGCAAGAACCAGGGAGAACCAGTAGCAACCCACCACTGGACCTGGGGCAAGTAACAGGAGTTTACCAGTCATGCAGTGCTCAAGTCTTGAACCTAGCTGCCAGCTTTAAATCCATCTATAAATGGATTTAGCTTCTTCCAGATCAGCCAAGGGTAGCTAGGATTTGTGCTGGGTTGTTTTAAACCGAGTTCTTGCTTGAAAGGGTAACAGCCTCTTTGCTTCCAATTTGGCTAATTTAGCCGAGGAAGGGGAGATGGGAGGAATCATCGGATAACATCTACAAAGCACTTTGAACATTCTGCCACAGTAAGTGATGTTAATAGCAACAATAATAATTAGGTTGATTATTAATTACAGGAGAATGCCAGATGGAATAGGAGGAGGATGGAAGGCTTGAAGGAGAAAGATCTAACTTTGGGCTTTGACAGTTATAAAGTGACTATATTGCCCTGGGCACTGTACTGCATCTGCATGTTAATTGCATGACTTTTTGTATAGTTACCTTCTTTTTTTAACTTTTTTTTTTCTCGGAGGGAAAGGTTTCCCAAGTTTGAAAGACATTTTAATACAAGAACCACCTCAGTTTCTGAGAGGGGGAAGGGGAAATCAAGAATTTTGTAGATCTTTTCCAACAGCAAATATTATTAACAGCTCACGAAAGCTTGTATGGCTTACAATAATGTTAGTTGGTCAGCAGATTCTTGACTTGTTGCCAAGAATGGAAGTAAATTCAACTGAGCTCAGAAATTTATGATCATCGAATCAGGCTAGCTGTGTGTGTATCAGAGGTGGGTTTCAGCAGGTTCTGACCAATTCTGGAGAACCGGTAGCAGAAATTTTGAGTAGTTCGGAGAACCGGTAGTAAAAATTCTGACTGGCCCCGCCCCCATCTATTCTCTGCCTCCCAAGTCCCAGCTGATCGGGAGGAAATGGGGATTTAGTAGTAACCTTCTCCTGGAGTGGGGTGGGAATGGGGATTTTACAGTATCCTTCCCCTGCCACACCCACCAAGCCATGCCACGCCCACCAAGCCACACTCACAGAACCAGTAGTAAAAAAATTTGAAACCCACCACTGGTGTGTATGTATGTTTTGGGGTGTGTGTGTGTTTTATTTAAGAAGTACATATGGCCGCCCAACTCAGTCATGATAGTTCTGGGCGACTTATAGTAATAAAACCTCCAATGGGCCCAATCCACAGGACTGCATTGCTATTCTTCGACATTTGCTAGACTGGTTTGTAGTGCCAGTTTGGTATAGTGATTAAAGAATTAGGCTAGAAAGAGGGGACTGTGAATTCTACTCCTGATTTAGGCACCAAGCCAGCTGGGTGACTTTGGGCCAGTCACTATCTCTCAGCCCTAGGAAGCAGGCAATGGCAAATCACTTCAGAAAAACCTTGGCAAGAAAACTTCAGGGACTTGTTCAGACAGTCATCAGGAATCAAAATCTGACTTAGAAGGCACATGTGGAGAGAGACCTGTTTGATCTGTTTATTCTCAGATGTGTCTTGTTTCTTTCTGTGTTACCTATATTAGACAATTGAGGAAGCTTTTAACAATAGAATAATATAGTTGGAAGGGACCTTAGAGGCCTTCTAGTCCAACCCCTTGCTCAAGCAGGAGACCCTACATCATTTCAGACAAGTGGCTGTCCAGTCTCTCATTAAAAATCTCCAATGATGGCACACCCACAACTTCTGAAGGCAAGCAGTTCCACTGGTTAATCGTTCTCACCATCAGGAAATTTCTCCTTAGTTTTAGGTTACTTTTCTCTTTGATTAGTTCCCATCTATTACTTTATCAGGAAGGTAAATCTATCTCAGCATCTACTTCTGTCCTACTATCGCAGCACCACTGAGAGTGACCTGACATACGGCATTCTTGCATGGTATGGGAGCAGCTCTGTAGCGGACAAAAATGCTCTACAGAGAATCTTTAAAACTGCCCAGAATATCATCGGGCTCCAGCTATCAGCCCTGGACGACATCTTCGAATCTCGCTGTTTGAGGAAGTTGCATAACATTCTTAGAGACTCTTCCCATCCTGCTTACAATCTTTTTGGACTGTTGCCTTCTGGCAGAAGATACAGAACAATTAAAACTCAACTATTTTCTGAATAGTTTTTATCCCAGAGCTATAATTGCACTCAACAATGAACTAAAGGGCCACCATTGGTGAGCTGTTGGACAGCATTACTTGGTCTGTTGTGTGGATGTTTGGGTGGTTTAGGGGTGGGGAATTGTGGTGAGTGGGAGTGTATTTGGGGGTTGTTATGTGTGTTGGACCTGGTCTTTGGGAGTTAAGTGAATTTTGTTGTATGGGTATACTGTGTATACGCATAAAATGAGAATAAAGTTATTATTATCAATGCTTCTTGTCCTGCATTCAGGTGCTTTGGAGAAGAGGTTGACTCCCCTCTTCATTCTGGCAACCCCCCTCAAATATTGGAACACTGCTATCATGTCACTCCTAGTCCTTCTTTTCTCTAGACTAGCCATACCCAATTCAAATACAAAAAAGAGAGATTCTTACTAATGTTTTTTTAAGGAAAATCAAATTATTCTGCCTCCCATGTCAATACATATGCAGAAGGGTGTGTATTTGTGTGTGCGTGCCCACAAAAATCATTTAGAAATTTACTGCCACTCCTTGAATAAAACTAAACTAGACCATCCACCTGAAAAATCAATGACGTGTCTATTTTGGCAATTCAAAAAGGATCTCTTGCATTATTATTATTTGATAGGTTTTGTTGGTTTTTTTTTTTTTTTTGCATTTTGATGCAGCAACAAGAATAGCATCAATCAAAAAGTGAAAGGGAGAAAATCCACAGGGCACTTCAGAATAAGACATGTCAGCAGTGGGATAATTGGTGCTAGGTGGGGGAAATTATTGTCTAGAATGTCCTCAGGAATGCAATTTGCTATGATATTGTCTCTTTGAAATGCGTGAATTAGCTCTTCATCACACCTAATAGGAAATCTTTCACCCTCAGCCTTGAAACTGTGTCTATTTAAAAAAAAAATGCCAAAAAAAAAAAAAAAGGAGAAAGAAAAAGTTGGTTGTAGAAAGAGAATTCTGGTGTACAGTTTTATCTTTTCTGTCTGTGAAAAAACAGGCAGAAAGGAAATGCGAGAGGCACCGATACTCGGGGACAATCTGTGTTCTGCTTTACAGTATTCTGTTCCCTGAAAAATTTAAAGGTAAAGGTTCCCCTTGCACATATGTGCTAGTAAAGTGATGGCTAACCTTTTTGCCGTCGTGTGCCAAAAGTGGGGGAAACGCGGGGGAAGTTGTGCATGCATGTGCCCACATCCATAATTCAATGCACCCTGCCCCCCATGCATGCGTCCATGACCCCCGCGCTCCCCCCATTTTTGGCACACGATAGCATGGTCCAATTTTTCACCCTCCCCGGGCTCCAGAGCCTTTCTAGGGGCCTGGGGAGGGTGAAAAGAACCTTCCTCACCCCTCTGGAGGCCCTCCGGAGGCCAGAAAACAGCCAGTTTCCTGATCTCCAGCCCCACCAGAGCTGAGCTAGGGCAATGCTCATGTGCCCACTGATATGGCTCCATGTGCCACAGGTGGCATGCGTGCCATAGGTTCACCTTCATGGTGCTAGTTGTTCCCAACTCTAGGGGGCGGCGCTCATCTTTCGAGAAGCTTCTTCATTTTATCCAAGAAGCTTCTTCAGTTCAGAATGAAGAAGTTTCCTGGATAAGAAATAAAACATCTTCAAGGACCAAAACAACAAAGAAAATCCAATTTCGATAAGTTAATGGCACAAATTAGGTCAGATTTGGAAAATTGGGGAAAAATACAGTTACCTTTAATGGGTAGGGTAGCTACCATTAAGATGAATATTTTATCAAAAATGTCTATTTCAATGCATGCCCATTCAGCTCAAAAAAGATTGTTTTTTGCAAATTTGGAAAGATATATTTCAAATTTATCTGGCAAGCGAAAAAAACCGAGAATTAGGTTAAAATTATTACAAGATGCTAGAGAAAGAGGGGGATTCGGCCCATCAGATTGGAGAAAATACTAGCAAGCAGCAGCTTTGGAATGGATAAGTGAGTGGATGCATCTCAAAAATACAAGATTATTGGCATTAGAAGGTCATGATTTACAGACAGGATGGCATGCTACTTTATGGGAGGAAAAACATAAAGCTCATCAACACTTCCAGAGGCATTATATTAGGAGGGCTCTATTAGACATCTGGAGTAAGACTAAAAGAAGCAATTATATGGAAATCCCTAACTGGGTATCAACATTAGAAATGTACACCCATCCAAACTTTATTAAATCAGGGGGAGTTGTTACCTGTAAAGACGTTTTGAATGAAAGAGGAGAATTGAAAGCGAGAAATATCTTAAAGGAAGAAGGAATTGACTTGGAATGATGGGCATATCTCCAAATACAATCTAAATTTAGGAAAGATAAAAAAAAGAATGGGGTATAAAGCAAGAATTATCGGAATTAGATAAGATTTTATTAAGTAGGGAAGGTAAGACTGTAAGTAAATTATATTGCTATTTGTTGGAACAAGATATGATTGAGGATCAAGTCAAAGAAACGATGATAATTTGGAGTAAATATTTGGGACATAGTATCGATTTGGACAATTGGCAAACTCTATGGGAAAAAAAAATTAAAAATTACGTTAGCAACCACATATAAGGAAAATGTATACAAGATGTTTTATAGGTGGCATATTCCCCCCCACAAGATTAGCATGAATCAATAAGGGAAATTCTTCGGCTTGTTGGAAGTGTAAGACGCCTTCGGGGGATTTCTACCATATGTCTACCCGCTTTTTAAAATTGTACCTTCTTGGTTTTGAAGGCAAGCAGGAAAGCCACTTAGTAGTGTTTTTTCTCTTCCTTTTCCATTCAGAAACCACTACCGAAACTGTGCCCAAGCAGCGGCAGAAGGTCCTCACGGGAAGTCATGCTATACTCTCACCTTCAGCCTCGTTTTCCCTCACCAGGAAGATGTTTGCTATCTGGCCTACCATTATCCATACACCTACTCTACCATGATGGTAATGCTGACGGTCTGAAATCCTAGGGAAATACAGCTCATTAATTCAGATAATGTTAATGCCCATCTAACAAAAACTCTAGTAACATCCTGGGAAGAGCGAGATTAAGTCAGTTGAGGATCAGGAGGATATTTCTTGATTTATTAGCCAGCCAGTCAAGACTATGAGGTGCAGGAGAATGATGTCCAATTTATTCAACAAGATTTGGCTGTAGGGGGTATATCAGTAGATGAGAAAGAGTTAAAAGGAAGAGAAGAATAAGAGGGCCTGTTGTGCAAACACTGCTTCAAAAATTAACAATAGAAGGAGTTTTTACTTTACATTGCTTTTTTTTTTTTAAAGGAAAGAAATGCTTCTGAAGTTAGGAGCAGCTTTAGCTTAATTTTAGATTATGCTTCCAATGAATACAAGATTCCGTTTCTGCTGTACTGAGATACAGAGAAACATTCATTTCCTGACATTGCCTGAATCATAATTTCAGTGGATATCTCTGTAGAGATAACTTTGACCGGGGTCACTTAAATAACTCACAGATTTTTATTACCCCTGCAAAGCTTTTTTTTTTTTTTAAAAAAAATCCAGTAAAAAAAAAGAATCATTTTTACAGACTGCGTGATTCCCGCCCACCCCAAAAGAAAAACAAATTTCACATGTGTGCATCACTAGGTTTTCTTTTTCAGCCTCTGTTTGTACAAATTGTGTGTGTATGTGTGTGTAGGTGTCGTGGGTGTATCTTCCCCCCTTTTTTGTCTTCAGAGCAGTAATGAATTCTAAGTGGTTTTGCAACCCAGGAACTCAATTACCTGCACTCGGCATTTGGAAAGGCAATAAAATTCCATACGGAAACTGACTTGGAAACTCGTCACAATCTAATATGCATTTAATAACGGCAGACATATTTACAGCACCCTGAGAAGAAGCCGCATGAAAGATTGGCATTGAATCGTACCATTTCTTTGATTCTTTAACTGCCGATACAGCCTTCCTTGCCCATGCAAGCCGAAAGCACCAACTTTTCTTTTCTTTCTTTTTTTTAATCATGTAAAATACATGTATTAATTTTGCATTGTAGTGTTTGAGTAATAACATTCCCTCATATTGCGTACTGTTGATATCTGCAGATTGAGTCTGTAGTTTGTCAAAGATGCAATAAATCACAGGTGATCATTTGACACACAATACAAAATGTGGCACTTTTAGAGATCTCAATTCTTTTAGCGGTTTCATAATACACATTTTCTAAATACATTTTTAGTTAATTAATATATAACAAAATGTAAATAAGGCGTCAGTAAATAAATCCAACTGAGATAATACAGTATGTATTCGATCCTAGGTAGAGGCAGATGTGGGGTCTCCTTGCTTGAGCAGGGGGTTGGACTAGATGACCTGCAAAGGTCCCTTCGAACTCTTGTTAATCTGTTAAAAATCTATTTTCTAAATGTAAACCTGCTTGAGTAAAAAGCACATTATGTTTTGTATCTGAAATACATACTTGGCATAGTTGCATAGTTTAAGTCTTCTCAAATTCAGGCCATTACATGCGAATGTGTCAACTTGAATTAGGAAAGAATTCTTAAATTTGAAGTTTTTATAAATTGTTCAAAGCAGGGGTGAAATCCAGCAGGTTCTGACGGGTTCTGGAGAACCGGTAGTGGAAATTTTGAGCAGTTCGGAGAACCGGCAAATACCACCTCTGGCTGGCCCCAGAGTGTGGAGGGAATGGAGATTTTGCAATATCTTTCCCCCAGGAGTGTGGAGGGAATGGAGATTTTGCAGTATCCTTCCCCTGCCATGCCCACCAAGCCACGCCCATCAAGCCATGCCACACCCACCAAGCCACGCCACGCCCACCACGCCACACCACACCCACCAAGCCACTCCACACCACAACCACCAAGCTACGCCCACAGAACAGGTAGTAAAAAAAATTGGATTTCACCACTGGTTCAAAGATGTACTATTTAGCTCCATCTTTTCATTCAAAAAACACAACAATGCCGAAGGACAGACCTTTGGTTCGGTCTAATCCAATATTTTTGACTATGACTGGTAATACCAAGTATTTCAGGCAGATTTGTTTGTTTTTTCTCCCTGATTTTTTTTTTCCATATTGAAGATGGCACGGACCGAACCAAAGATTTCCTAAATGCAAAAACATTTCCTCTACAGTCCGCTTTGCAATTTGGTGAGGGTCAGGAGGTGCATCGAGAGAAAGTCAGAAGCAGAACTGGAGGCTGACCCGAAGGAACAGAACTAATAACAAAATCATTTATCTTTCCACTCCTGCAGCTAGGGTGAATAGGTAGCTTAAGTGACTCTCAGCCTGGGTTTTAGGGCAGGGAGAGAACAGTAGAAGCAAGTGACATGGCTAGGATCACAATCCCCACATTGTGACACAATGCGCAGGTTGTTCAGCCGTCACTGGTTTTGCTCCTTTTCAACGAGAGATACGGAGTATATGTTACAGAATAAAGAAGACTATTTGTAGCTCAGGGTTGAAACGAGAAGTCCTTGGTCAGAGGTGCAATGTAAAATTTGTTACTACCGGTTCTGTGGGCGTGGCTTGGTGGGGGGGGTAATGTGACTGGGTGGGCGTGGTCAACTTTTTTTTTTTTTTTACTTTTAAAAGCCTCTGACGATCAGGCAACTCAGCTGGGATCGTCAGAGCCTTTTAAAAGCATTTGTTCGGCCGAAGAGGTTGTACAAAAAATGTTTTTAAAAGCCTCTGACGATCAGGCAACTCAGCTGGGAGTTAAAAATGCTTTTAAAAGACTCTGATGATCCCAGTTGAGCCGCACGATCGTCAGAGGCTTTTCTTTTTTACTTTTAAAAGCATTTTTTCAGCCGAAGAGGTTTGAGAAGAAATGCTTTTAAAAGTAAAAAAAAAAAAAAGCCTCTGATGATCGTGTGGCTCAGCTGGGCATGGGGGGGGAGCGCAGGGATTTTTGCTACCAGTTCTCCGAACCACCCACCACCATCGCTACCCGATCGGGCGATCCAGTGTGAACCGGGAGCATTTCACCCCTGTCCTTTGTGTTCTCTGAGCTTGGTTGTTTTCTTGGTTGATGTTTTCTTACCTTAACTAGGTGACATCATCTGTGCTAACAAGAAGTGATCCCTCTAATGATGTTAGCTACTTTGGATAATGAAATGTCTGCAAGGAAGCAACAGAGCCCAGAGAGAATAGAATAGAATGTAGAACAGAATGAATGAATGAGCTGGAAGGGACCTTGGAGGTCTTCTAGTCCAGCCCACTGTTCAAGCAGGAGCACCAAGGACCCCTCAGAGTAGATGCTGTCTTTCTTTCTGCAGCTTCTGATGCTTAGCTACCCTTTGGCTTGCCAACCTGTCTGGAATCCTGAAGGGTGGATAGTACAATGGAAGAATGTCTACTAAGATGGTAGCAGTCTAGTTAGAAGATTCGGGCGGTTGTAGTTCGACATCTCGGCAGGGTTAAGGGGGGCTGGTAGTGAAAACCTGACTTAGGTAACTTGACTTTCTGAGAACGCCGGTCCCTCAAAGGGAGGAATGAGGCATTGTATTAAATTAAATGCGACATTAAATGATATTACATCATTTCTGAGCAAAAGGCCTTCACATTTGGTTTCATACTGTAGCTGCACTCCATGATTCATCAGCAAGCAGTCCGGAGATCTTTAAATAAGAAAATAGTTTGAATAATGGTTTATGGTGTGTTCCCATTATTTAAGCTTATTTTCTTGCTTCCAATTCTTATAATATTAAAATGAAATTGTTCACAAATGAGAGAGAGAGAAGGGGGGGAGGGAGGGGGAGAGAGAGAGAGAGAGAGAGAGTGAGTGAGTGAAGGAAGTTGTCCTCCATTAGCTCATTGACCTCAATGAGAAGTCTGCCCATGGATCTGGGACTTCCAGTTGTATATCTATATTCTACAAGGTGTTGGACTAGACCAGGGATCTGCAACCTTAAACACTCAAAGAGTCATTTGGACCCGTTTCCCACAGGAAAAAACAACAACCCGGAAGCCACAAAACCTGGGTGGGCGTGGCCAACTCCATGTCACTCACTCCCACCCAGTCACATGACTCCCCTAGTCACGCCTACCCAGCCGGACATTAGGGCAGAGAACCGGTTGTTAAAAAACACCGGGAACCACAAAACCCTTCTCTCTCTCTCTCTCTCTCTCTCTCTCTCTCTCTCCTCTCCCTGTATTTCTCTATCTGTCTCTCTCTCCCCCTCTCTGTATCTCTCTCCCCCTCTCTCTCTCCCTCTCTCCCTCTCTCTCCCCTCTCCCTCTCTCTCTTGGATTTCCAAGGCCAAGGCCAGAGTGACTGGGAGGGGAGGGCGAGAGGTGGGGCCAGACAGTGATGGGAGAGGAAGCTGCAGCAGAGGGGCCAAAGAGCCACATGCGGCTCCGGAGCCACAGGTTGCTGATACCCAGGCTAGACAATTTCTCCCAGCGGGACATTTTGTAAACTATTACACGTTCATGTTTCCATTTTTGCAGTCTCACCTTGACATCTTGGAGCAAACCAGGAATACAAAGAAAGTCTTCTTCAAGAGGCAGACCCTTTGCCACACTCTAGCAGGAAATGCGTGCCCTCTGCTTACCGTCACCGCCATGCCTGAATCGGAAAGCAGGAATGACCTGGAGCAGTTCCGTAAGTCACTTCTTTCATTTGGTTCTTACTCCACCCTCTCTAGATCTCGAGTAACATACTGTACATCTGAATCTGAATGCCATCAATGGCATCCAGTAAAACCGTGAGCTGGGTTGCCATAAGCTCATCCATTTTCATTGCTGTTGCTGTTGGAGAGACTCCCTGAAGGTGTGCTTGTGGAAAGGGAAAGGTGTGGATCCGATTCATACGTTCCATGAGAGAGTTAATCTGGATTGATTGCCATTCAGTGTGCTGTGTGGTTTGTGTAGCTATTGTGGTTTGTGACTTAACCCGCTATGTGGTTCCAGTTTATTCAACAGCCGTGGTGGCCAAACACTAACTATCAAATAAGTTGTTGGTTCACCTCAGTGGTGAAATCCAAATTTTTTTTACTACTGGTACTGTGGGTATGGCTTGGTGGGCATAGTGTGGCTTGTTGGGTGTGGCAGGGGAAGGATACTGCAAACTCTCCATTCCCACCCCACTCCAGGGGAAGGATACTACAAAATCCCCATTCCCTCCCCACTCCTGGAGGAAGGATATTGCAAAATCTCCATTCCCACCCCACTCTGGGGCCAGCCAGAGGTGGCATTTGCCAGTTCTCTGGACTATTCAAAATTTCTGCTACCGGTTCTCCAGAACCTGTCAGTACCTGCTAGATTTCACCCCTGGTTCACCTCCTGATGTGAAAGATCTGTATGAAGGACAGTTGTTTCAGGAACAAATGTCCATTCATCATCTGCCACTATATAATTAAATGTAATTCAATGTAAGGTATGCATAGTTTTGTTGCAAGGATGCAGACATTTTTAAAAAATTTTATTGGGAAATATCGACTTGCAGACTTGCATTGGAGCGAGGCTTAATAGTTATCTACATTTTAAAATAGTTTTTATTAAATATTGCGGTGGGGGGGGAAAGAAGAAGATACTGTCAAACAGGGTAGCTTCAGAAAGAATTATCTACATTTTTGTTTTATTGAAGCAACACGGAGAATTACAAGCTTTTGGAACCTTTGATTTATTTGCTTTGACTTTATAGATGTTCTCTAATTTACAGAACAAGGAAATTGTTATGAAAGGTTTCTTTTGCATGTTTCAGAATGATAAATGCAGCTCAGATTTGTAAAAATGCAATAGAGGTGGAAAGGTCTTGTTGATAGAAGAAGGAGAGAAAATGTTTTCAGATTAGCCTTTGCTACTTGACAATTAACCATGTGGACAACAGCTGATATCTGGCCATGAAGTAGAGGTGCTGCTAGCAATTCTGTTTTTAACATTATTATTGGTGAATCGTCAACCCTTTCAGCTCCCAATGAATGATGTGATTCTTTTTTTTTTTTCCTGGGATTACATCCTTTCATATTTTATTTTAGAGATAAGCTTGGATTCACTCATCAGGTTAAATATGATTTGGATTTCACATAAACTATGAACCCAGCTATTTTGGCTTACAACCCGGATTCATACTTTAGCATGCTGTGCAAATTTAGCCAATTAAAGTTTATTCAGTAAAACATGTTGAACACCCTGGTTTAACATGATATGTGAACCCAGCCTGATGCTGCTTCCTTAGAGAATTCTTTGCATACATACACAAGCAGTGGTGGGATTCAGCCAGTTCGCACCACTTCAAGCGAACCGGTTGTTAACTTTCTGAGCAGTTTGGTGAACTGGTTGTTGGAAGAAATCATTAGGGCAGAGAACCGGTTGTTAAATTATTTGAATCCCACCACTGTACAAGGTTTATAGATAACCAAGCTGGGAAATAATTTAATTGTTCAGCTTTTATAAATGCATTGCTTGCCTACATCTGTATGTTTCTTAAGGTGCATAGGCTGAGGATTCATGAGACTATTATCTTCCTTGTTGATGCTGGGGTTTTGAGGTGCAGACAAGAAGTGGTATTCTGGATCCCATATGGTATTACTACCAATGCATATCTGACTTCTATAGTATGATTAGACAAAAAAAAAAAAGTCTTAGCAGCTGTCATGGAATTGCCTATGTGTGAAGTTGGCAGATATAGCAATAGCAATAGCACTTAGAGTTATATACCGCTTTAAAGTTCTTTACAGCTCGCTCTAAGCGGTTTACAGAGTCAGCCTCTTGCCCCCAACAATCTGGGTCCTCATTTTACCGACCTCGGAAGGACGGAAGTCTGAGTCAACCTTGAGCCTGGTGAGATTTGGACTGCCTAATTGCAGGCAGCCGGCAGTCAGCAGAAGTAGCCTGCAGTACCGCATTCTAACCACTGCGCCACCGCAGCTCTACAAATTTATTTAATAATCAAGCAAGCAAGCAAGCATTTTTCTTCCTGGGATGAAGGTGAAAGTGGTGTCTCTTGTGTACACAAACTAGCTGAAGTGTCCCTCAGTATATGAGACAACATCCCGTACCACCTATGGGAGAAGAAGGTAGCTGAGAGGTTATTGGATAAGCAACGTGATTTCCAAACTCTGTCCTCCAGTTTATTGCTGTTGTTTCTCACTCAAATAGAGGGAAGTGAAATGTTTAAAAAATAAAAGGCAACGCAGGAAACCGTGGTGGAATATGGTAGAGATAAGAATGGTTTGCAAAGATACAAACGTACGGGGAAGTATGTTGTGCCTAGTGCTAATGTAAACTACATTGTTTTTAATGGGTTTTTTCCAGGGGTGAAATCTAGCAGGTTCTGGCCCCAGAGTGGGGAGGGAATATGGATTTTGCAGTATCCTTCCCCTGGAGTGGGGTGGGAATGGGGATTTTGCAGTATCCTTCCCCTGCCACGCCCACCAAGCCACACCACGCCCACCAAGCCATGCCCACAGAACCAGTAGTAAAAAAAAATTGGAATTCACCACTGTTTTTTTCCACTGTATCTTGTAAACTGCCCAAACTTATAAAGAGGAGAAGTAACTTCTAAATGGATAAATAAATCAAGTATCAGAGAGAGCATTCAGACAGGCCAAATACAACGTTTCCCAGAGAACAAGTCAGAAGGTGATTTCAGAGGACAAGAAACCTCAATAAAGACATAGGATCTGAGTTTCAGAAGTTAGTGGAAAATTACCTCTGTCTTATGAGTTTCTTGGTGTTAACAACTAAGCTTGAGGTCCTTCAATCAGCTCTAACTTGCTACCCTCTATGATCTGGGGCAAGGGCCTGCAACTTTAAGCACTCAAAGAGCCATTTGGACCCATTTCCTACAGAAAAGAAAACACCGGGAGCCACAAAACCCTTCCCCTGCCTGACTATTTCTTGAGCCGCCACAAAACTAGCATAAGTAGTTGAATTAAATGTTCTGTTTTCTTCTGAAACTTTTCTTTTCTTGGATTTATCCATGGTTGGCCTACTGGGGGTTGAAAAGCTCAATAAATCGCGTGCCGGCGGGTGTTGCACATTGGCGGTTGTGATGCATATTTTGAGTGACAGGGAGCCACAGCAGAGAGGTGAAAGAGCCACATGCGGCTCCAGAGCCACAGGTTGCTGACCCCTGGTCTGGGAGAATTAAAGTATGATTTTTTTCTAATGCCAGAGAACTGTTTAAAATATCTAAAGTATGCCTGGTTGAAGAAAGACCTGCCTATCTCAGTTTACCTATACTAACTATGGTTTCAAGACATCCTGAAACTGGTATTGGAGTTCATCAAGACTTGACTCTATGGAGATTCTCAATCATCCAGGTCAAGGTTGTCCCAAAGGTGCTTTTCCAAAAGGCAACCGGACTTTGTTTTTCCTTGAAGACATTTCACTTCTCATCCAAGAAGCTTCTTCAGTTCTGATTGAATGGTGGAGAATCAGAACTGAAGAAGCTTCCTAAATGAGAAGCGAAACATCTTCAAGGGAAAAAAAAAACCCAAGGAAAAAACCAAGTTTCCTTTTGGAAAAGCACCGTTGGCTCAGCCAGATGTACCAGTAGATCAATTGGGGCTTCTCCAGTGGTGTTGTGACCTAGGCTCCCTTAACAAGCAGGTGGCAGGAATTGGTCCTGGCAAAACCTCTTTTGTTTACACGACTGTGAATTACTGTTCATTCACAATCAGCAAGTCAACAGTTTTTCAAAAGGAATATTTCTCAACACACCTTATCTCGTTTGGCAAGCTGCCACGTAACTTGCTTCCAACAGCAGTACAAGGCAAAACTTGGCACAGAGTCTCTCAGAGTCACGGAATGAACGAATTGTTTCCTGCAAAAGCCCTCTCCCTGTTTGCTCCTCTTTTGTTTCCTATGGGAGGGGCCAATCACCTCCAAGGTGTGGCTTTACTCCCGAGTTGAACCTGCTTTCTGAGTTGTTCTTGTCTTCTGGCAGCACACTGGGAACGGACTCCAGCTGTTCCTCTGCCTCACTGCTGTCTAACTCCCTCTCTGCCTCTGATGCAGAGCCCTCGTCCGAGCTTTCCCCAGCCCCCAGGACTGGCCCAAGTTCCTTCCCAACCTCCTCCTGCTGTCAGCTCTTCTGGCTGCCAGTGGGCCACAACAAGTGGTATACAGACCAAGCTGCTTGGGCTCTCTTGCTAGAAGTCCCAGGTTGGACCTGCCATTGGTGTCCTGGTGGCTTAAAACATCCATTTCCGAACTGCTTGAGTCTGCCTATTGTTCTACGTAGCTTCTGCAATAATTGCTTATTCCTTATCACCAACAGAACATGGCCAAGAGGAGAAACAAGCCACTCTAATATTCGACTCTTATGAACAAACCTATTAAGAAGTGTATGTTTTATATATCCCAGTGCCACAGCCCTTTTCTAATTCTAGCGATACGGATCAATTCTCGCAAGCTACCTGAGCCTGCTTATTAAAATGTCATTCTGTTTCTAGAAAAAGAAGAAGAGCCATCTTAGAATTAATTGAGCTTGGTCTCTCAAATGTTCTTGTGCTGACTTTCCAGAAAGTCAATTTGGTCATTCCATTCCGTATCCGTTATCTTATGCCCCCCTCCCCAATGACCCATTTTGGGACCTGGAAGTCAAGCAAAGGTCTGTGAGGGGCTCTTGCTTATAAACGAAAATAGAGATCCTAC